AATAAGCCGTATAACAACAGTTAATGGGCTAACCAAAAGCTTATGATAAATGAAATTGATAGATATAGTAATTCATTTACTTAGTAAGTATACAACAAAAATCAGTTTCAAAAGTTCCAAGCTTTGCAATTGTTGTATCCCGTGGAGAATTATGAATGGTGACCTTGAGGACTATTAATGGACCAATCTAATATGTATATTTCTTATTGCATAATTGATAAGTAACTAAGCTATTCATATTCATGTTAATCTTGTTATAAGCTTTATTCCGACCCTAAGACTATTATTATACGATTTACCATTCTTGAGTTATCCCCAGTCTATTGATTACTGTTCCCCTTATTCACAGCCACATTTGGCTAAATCTTGTACAAATGTTATTTTCTATTTCATTGGTACGATGTGGTCTGTTTGTTTGATATATAAACCCAGTATGTTTGAGAATAGTGATTCATATTGCAGAGGCTGTTACTGGTGTTGTGTACTTAACTGGCTGGGGTAGGCAGATAGCAGGACTGATAAGTGCTCAAGACTGCTCGTACGATTTTTCGTATGTCACTGTCCCAAATGATAATTCGCGGCTCTCTGATTGGCGGTCTTATAACGTTCATATATTGACAGGGCATGTATGCACTCACACGTTATAAGAGCAATAATTTACCCATCACAACATATAGACAGTTTTTGTTCGAAGTTAGTGAACACTTAAAATATGAAAATCAATTAGAAATCACTTTCCATACAATTCTATTTTATATTTATCAAGTTAAAGTCACTATAAGATAACAGCTGAAATAATTCTTTGTCAAACTTCCGGTTAATTAAAGACAATAAGGTTTTATACATTTTAATTAATGAAAAAAGAAAGAAAACATTGTAACACCATAATGAAAGGAATACTTTAGAAAAACAGGATATATAGAAAATGTTTTCAAAGTATATCTTATCTAAAAAGAGCTATGTGTTTGTCTAACAAGTTTAAAAGATATGTAAATAGAAAAACAAACAAAAAAACACAACAACTTTTACACAATTTTAATATTAAAGAGACGTAAACTTCTAGTGCCAATATCATGTTGTAAAAGAGTATTATTTGGGTGTGTCAACTTCCGCACCTAATAGTGTATATAGTTATGTTTTCGTTGGCGTTATTAATTTTAGTTGTATAATTATACTGTATAAATTAAATGAACGTTAATAAGGGTTTAAGTGTGATTCAGTTCCACTCTTTTACAACACTTATACTTTGTGTCATATTAAATGAAATGTAGTTTTTTAGCTACGCATTTGGAATATATGTAAATAAAAAGTTCATAGGATTAGGTTTTATTTTAGTTGGCAATCAAGAGACTGACAGACTCAGAATACAATAGTATCAACGTCTGTAATGGGACATTTGTTGATAGATTTTATGTCATGGTGAAAAGTTTTCTGCCAAATATCTCAGGTACGTTTTATCAATAAGTGTTACGTAATCTAAGTCTAGGAAATCCTGCTATTTATGTCGATCCTACTAACTTTATACACAAACTTAACTATTCCTTCTGGTAAAAGTGTACAGGGAGTAAGATTACCAAAGGAAAGTTTTGTGTATGGGGATAGTACTTTAATTCATAAAGAGTATTGTGAAAATGTACTATCCTAGCTCATGAGTTAGATTCCAGATGTCCAATGAGTGTCACATAACTTTTATTGTAAAATAACTTTTCATCAGATACTTTTAAATGTCTATTTAAATGCTGATTAACTTGACAGAAGTCATGAAATCTGAATTATTCTTTTACCAAATTATTTCCTGGCTAGTTTCGAGGCGTCACTTATTTTCTCAGCCATAGTTATTAAAATATAATATGATACGAATAAGATTTATCACTACTTATACCATGACTTATCAAACTTACAGTGTTTTGAATACATGTAATCGACGTTACAATTAAAACACAATTATATTTCTTACCATAAATGATCTCTTATCAATAAAGCTTTACGTTTTCTACTATATGGATTAAACAAGTAAATAAGCTTACTTCTGAGTGTAATAATAATTGTTGGTTTTGTTCAAAATGACAATGAAAACTTGACAATTAAACTATCCAGCTCAGGAACCTAACCAAATTTTACAATATATTAACTTTTACATAATTTGAAATTTTCTACGTATTTTCATACTTGAACACTATTACTACCTTACTCATTCATCTATTTCATAAGTTACTTCACATTATCATACATAAATGTATAATCAATTCACTTTTGCATTGTTCGTTTGAACCTTCGCAATGATGTTAGGATTGCAATCGATCAGTCTCTTCTTGGCATATATGCATCTTGTACTAATCGCCTCGATATTGCTTTAAGTTACAAGCATTATAAGCAAAGATGGATAGTGGCTAACAGTGGAATCCAGGATGCGCGTTTCATCTTGTTTGGGACTCGTCAGCTAGATGTACCTGCATCTCAGATTTAATGTTTACTCAGGGACTCGAACCAAGTACCTTTCGCTTTAAACGCCATCGCGTTATCCATTTAGCTACTGAGTCATGATAGCCACTTGCTTGTGCAATGGGATGAAGTTTAAATTCACATGGTAATGTTTGATTGAATCAAACTAATTATCTAATTTTAATTATTACTTAGCAAATATTAGTATTTATATATTGACTAAAATGGATATTTCTTTTTTCATTTGATTATTTACTTAGTCAATATGCTTCCGGTTATTTTTATCTAGATTGTTACAAAACTATTCATTTTTATGAAATAAAGATATTTTCCAATATTAATCTTTTTCAATATATGTAATGTATTTTTCATTGTTTGATTGACTTTACCGCCAATATATAAATAATAATGAGATCAATAACATTTCTGGTATCTTTTTGTTCGTCAACTCTGTAGATTATATCTTTCATAAATAACTAATTATCATATTGATCTGTTGAACGAATGAAACAGAATCTATTCGATAATATAAAACATCGTTTAAAGTCAACTGGCAAATAACATGCACACACATATACTTAGATATTTATTGTTACCAGAGGAATGAATACCTATGTCACATGTAAGGCAATGGTAGGAAGATACTAATTTATACCAGATGTTTCATCCTGTTAAGTGTATTAACTAACCAAATGTGATGAATTTAATTTTTCTTTTTAAATATAACTGACTGATTAGGATAAAATGTAACATTACAATGAGTTACCATTTAAAACATCACACCTATTTTTTATTATTATATTAATTAGCTGAAATTTTGTAAAACTGTCTTTTATGTAAAAATCGGTGTTGTATTTTTGAAATGATACAAGTAGTATATACAAGTTTGAGCCATAGAAACATGAAACAACCAATTAGATGATAATTGAATTTATCGACTTGATTAATAGTAAATCATTTAACTTACTAATAATTAAAAGATGAATAAATACGGTTCCTTTCATCAGCGAAACTTAAAATTGTTACCAATGATGGTCGAAAACTCATTCAGTATGACACTAAATCTTGTCGTGGTCATTTTAATCTATATATTTTCACATTTAAGTGCTCATTTAAAATTTTCACTTACGTCAGTGAATAATATGGAAGCATATAGTTATCGAAAAGTGATCTTATTTTATGAAGTAGGAAATCTTTGTCTTCTCAACTATTGAGGACTATAAAATGAAGCATGACAGTCAATCTTACCAGTATAAAATATGTGATGATGAAGTTAACAATCTTAATCATCATTATGTAAACTGTGATAGAAAATTGTACGGTTCATATTTCTTTCTCCCTAGACTGAATAAAATATCAGGACGTACAAAAAATATGGTATTTTCGTATACCTGAGATTCGGTTTTTTGTAGAAAAATGTAAAGTTCTGGATTGAATTCATGATATTACCATTATATGTTACTTAAATTTCTCAAGACTGTATAAACAAAAAGATTAGAAAAGTCGAAAGAAATACATTGGATAATCCGTTTAATTGATTCACTATCCCAAGAGAGCTATAAATTATAACTAGATTGGAGTCAATCAAGATCTAGTTGTATGTCGTTTCCAACTAGTTGTTATATGTACATACTTGAAAATATTAATTATCAAATACCTACTATTCCATATGAAAGACTTAGTAAACTAAGAGCACGTTTATACACTTACTTCTAAGTGACATTGTTAAAATCTGTGGGAAAATATCCTTCTTTTTTTGAAGATTAATTAGTTCTTTTTTTACACATATTTGAAGTAATAAACTGACCTAATTTTGTAATTCATTATTGAAATTTACGGTAAATTTGTTGAGGGAATTTCTAATATATGAGAATTTCAAAGTTAACAATTTATCCTTTTGTTAGTACTGCCAGTTTTTTGTTAGAAGTGAATATAAGCCTTTAACTTTACCAATAAATTATCACGTTCTAAAATCCCATACTGTACTGGAAACGTGACATTTAATATGACAAATTAAATAAGCCATAAATGTAAAATGCAATGTGTTAAACTATATAATCAATCAAGGAGTTATTACTGATTTTTCAGTTATGAATAATCCTGTGTTAAATTAATTTAAATGATTAGCCATGTTAACGTAGTCCACCTGAGTGACAAATTGTTTAAATGTCTTGTTGCAATGATCACAGTTATTTACAACTGATTGATCACTGGGTAGTGATCAGTGTCATGTATATCAGGTTCTTCTTAGTGCAGATCAAATCCTATCGACCAAGTTGCACTGTGGACACTAGTCAAGGTGACTCTTCATTACGTGCACTATGTTGAGATAAGATGGTGGTTGGAGGTAGTCAACAAGAAACCCTGGACCTAGGTTTTGTAGTAATCGGCACTCGTCAGTAAGACGTACCTGTAATCTTGAGAGAACTGAAGCTCCATGACGTCTCTAACTATGAAACTGAGTGACATGGGATCGATTCCGTCAGAGAGCATCATTTCCTTCAAGATTACAGGTACACCTTACTGACGAATACCAATTAGCATGAAACTTAGGTTCAGGATTTCTTATTGACTACCTCTAACCACCATCTGATTGGAGTTATATTTTGATTTTTATGCGTTATGATAAAAGTAAGAAATGTGTGTATATAAGGTTTTTATGGTTGTTTTGAGAAATCTAAGGCGAAAATCCAAGTTTATTCTGGGTTATTAATCGTTCTGTAGATATTTTGGGAAGTTGATGAAAGTTGTGGAATGCTTTATCTGGTAATGAATGTCAATACATAGGTCACGATAATTTAAATTCTTATTGTTGCAAGATGGACGTTTCAATAAATTTAGATTAGTAGACATGATCTTACTTTAAAGTGATGTTTTTTTCTGTTGAACAAGAATAATACATGAAAAAAGTGCAGATAGCGTTTATTTTTCCCTTAAACCGCGAGATTAAAATCACTTTATACCTTTCTTTCTACGAGCTAATTCTCTCTCCCTGTGTCATATCCTTATATACAATCTTTTTTTTCATATAATACTACCATTGAAGTAGCTGTTTCTATGAATTTGACGTTCATCTTGTGGTGCAAATGAAGTACGGCAACATGGATCGATGCATATATGAGCCTGATCCTACATTACAGCTGACTGGATATTTTAAGTCACCAAAATAATTTTCCTACTATTTGTTCAACCAACATTAATAAGAAAATTTACTTACAATTTCACTTGGTTGTATAAAATATACATCCTCCTTAAGGTTTATTTCAGTGGAAAGTGTTACACTCAATTAAGTCATCATTCAAGTTATGACAAAAACGATGTTGGATTACTTATATGCTTAGTCACATTGATAAGTTAATTGATAGGGTTCGATTAGTACTATGGACCTGATAACTTGATAGATTAATGTACTTTTACACTTAAAATTACAGCTTAATCCTTATGATTCTTTGTAGATAAATGATGAAACAAACTCTTATGGCAAGTAATATGGTAATGATTTATATCCTATAAAATGATAACACTGAAGTAATCTATCATTTGGTATGCTTTTAAAATACTGTATACTTTTACACTTGAACATAATTTAAAATAGTTACATATTTTAAATGACTGAACATTAGGTGCCATCTTTAAAAGGACACATGGGCTAAGTAATGGGATTTATGGTGTCAAACTTATCATGCAATTACTTAATCATAATTGATAATTTGCAAGGAATTAATTACTGTTATATTATTCAGTTTCACTTTCTGTACAGAAACAATACAAGATAATAATAATTAAAAAAACATTTCAATAAATAAAGAAATAAGTACAAAAGAAGAAAAGAATGACATCACATTGTTCTACAAAATATTACATGCATTCATAATACCTTCATTTCGCCACTATTATTGTTGAAAAACTTTCAGACTATATGTATATATTTGATTGGGAGGATATTCGTTTTATATGAAAAATGAAGGAAAATGTCTAGAAATGATTTAAAATAAAAACATACAAATTGTTTGGAAACATTTGAAGTTAATAGGTGTATAATTTAAACAAAAGAATTCTCTGCATATGCATCTGCCAATTTCGGTTTCCGATTATTACATGAATTTTCTGTTAGTTTTGACAGTGCTGCCAGTTCTTTATCACTTTCAAATTCTTCATATTTTTCAATCCATCCATTAGAATTTTGTCCAATATCATAGGAAGATGGAATTGTTTGCATAGATGGATATGATAATTGGCATGTATTAGTTAAACCTATTGGATCATAGTAAGAAGAGGATGCTTCAATGATTGAGCCTAGCGCTAGAACTCTATTTCCAGTTGATAATCCAGACGGTGTAAAAGGTATTGACACTGTTGAATGTATTACAACTTTTGAATTATCAAAATTACTGGCTTCACTATTTGATATCTGTGATTTTCTATTCAAGTATGGACTGAATAAGAGATGATTGGTTGTTTTCTGTTCATTGTAATATGAGTCGAAATTTATATCTGGTTGAATCGGTATAAATTGAGAATGATTATGTGGTGAACTTGGATAAGCACATAATGCTGTATATCCAACTATAATCAGAAATATAAATGGTTAAAAAAATAGCTAGTTAGTTAAATTTTCTTTTCAAAGCTTTTATTGTGTGATAAGTTCAGTTGTTTCAAATCGTGTGTTATGGAATCAGTTATCATCAGTAAGAGAACTGCTTAAAATGTAGAACGTTAGGTAACTATGTTGTTCTTGTTCATGTCTCCAAACTAGTGGGCATTCGGAACATCAAATGAAATAAAAAACGTAGACCTTTGGGAATTACACTAAGAGAAGATGCTTTGAGCTCAGAAAAGAAAGACTATCTCACTAAAATCCGACAACCATACAGTAAACACTTAATTTGCAAACTATTAATCAGTTGTCTCAACCTTGACCATTCCTTCTGCAAATATCAGTTCATAGTCTCCGATTATTATTTCTCATGCATTTTCATACCGATTGCGTTCCGTTTTGTTTCTTTCCTTATCAATCTTCTAGTGAAATACATTCTATGCCTGACTATCACCATATACTACTTATGTGGTTATAAGTAACCCACACCACATTATTATGTAGATGATACTTGTAAGGTTAGAGTGCCTTGATTTCCAGTATTCTAATCAAAGTTTCACTGAAACCCACACGTACCGGTTTACGGCTTTCAAACACCCTGTATGTCTTCAAAGGATTAAACATAGATATGCTTAGATCCAACCAAATTCCATTATCTTTTTCTTACTCTAATAAACGCGTTTTGTCTTCTACGGATTATGTTCCCCTTCTGAAGCTGAAAATTTCTAAATCTTCTGAATTATTCATATGTTTTATAACAACTTTATCATTTGTGAGAGCCTTCTATAAATTTTCTTTTCGATTATGTTAATTGTAATTTATTATCTCGAAAGAATACTTTCACATGATCTCAATTTATGATGGATTAAACAATGCAAATTACCAACTATTCATAATAAATCGGTTAATGAATACTAAATTTAGTCACAGTTCGCTAAAGGTTGATAAACAAGATGTTATTTTATCAACAAAAAAGGGTTAGTTGTTGATCAGATATTCTCTTTGTACTGATATACATGTTTATTATGTAAAGATAATTGTCCTACATCATTGTTATTGTTATTAATGAATAATTTCTTTATGAATAACTGATTTTCTATTCTGTTTCCGTATATGGTGTCTTATTTGATGTATTCTTCAAATATAGATTTTTATGTCGTAGAAGAAACAATATACACATGAATTAATGGTTTTACATTACGATTTTTGTTTTACCGTTCGGTAGATTTCCATTCATCTTCTACTTCACTGTGTTACGAAACATATTTTTAAAAAAATTGAAAATTATTCTGATAAGATGGTAGCAGTTAGCACAGGATACATACTGTTAAGGAATCCCATACTAGGATTAAACGGCCATCTAATGCTTCCAGGTTTTTAATTATGATCGGACATTGGTCGGTTCATGATTCCAGTAAATAAATATGTTTTTTCATTACCATGTTACTTAAAATGCTATATAAAACAATTACATTACTTACCATCCAACTGTCGAACATTAACTACAGAATCATCTGAAAATGTACGAGTCAAACGTTTATTCGATGCATGATGTTTTTGAAAATAATCTGGACGAAAGGATTGTATTTCGTTCTACAAATAGACAAAAATATTTAAAATATTTAAAAGGTTTGTACACACATCAAAAGTATTATCATTTCTATCAGCTTAATATTACACTTGGTAACAACTAAGTAGAATATACTAATTGGTACATCTATACTTACTTTCATTTTATCCATTTGTTTCTGTTCATAAAACTTTACAAGGTTTCTTATTTTAGAGTTCAGTTTATTCACAAGCTAGGATCAGTTAGCGACCACCATGGATTAGATAAACTTCTTAAAACTGTAACATTTTTATTTAACTGTGTGGAGAGTGATGTGGTTACCCACCAATTAATCTCAAGGATAATTTCATCTCCGGTAATAGAGATGTATCAAATTTGGAAAGAGATTTGAAGGACCTGATTTTAATTCTATATAAAGTTAAGATGGGTAATACTGTGGTTTGCAAACTCAAACAATATAAATGTTTAATAGCCTTTGATTTTCACTGATTGTCTAAGTAACTTCAGCTTAGAAATAAAATTAACTTATACAAAAGTCCTATAGGTTTATGTTTTCCAAGATATAATTTTGTTCTAAAAATTTAATATAATAACTTTGGAGTAATGATCAAACAATTGATTCACAGGAAATTTCCTACTTTACTCGAGTACAATACTTGGTTAAATCAAGTATAGAATCTTAGGCACTTGTTTTAACAACATTCACTATGTATTCTTATTACATCAGTATGAAATTTGTGCAAAAATAAGAGAAGGGGGTATCCACCTATTTAATCTATCATCAGGATATAAATTATTACACAAATTTTTACATGTTTGTTTAACTAAATTTGAGCTCGAGATGTGTTTCAATACGGTGTTTGCAATCATTAGGCAACAAATAAAATCCATATGACTGTCAAAAATTGTTAGTATTTATTAGCCAATAAGTGTGGGTGTCTACTTAAAACACAAAACTAACAAAACACTATACTCAATCGCATGGTAACGTTTAAAATGATTTCAAAATGCATTAATTGTATGTGATGGCTAAAAATGTTAAACATAATTTTTTTAAAAATTAACAACATACCCATTTGAAACGTGTCTTATCATTTCTACATGTCCATGTTTGATCGGCTTGTCCTTCAGTAACCGATGGGACGCAATCTGAAAGTGAAAAAAAATCAGAACACGGATACTTGGTGGCTCAATATATATATATATATATATATATATATATATATATATAAACTGCAGAACTAGAGTGATATAAAATGTTAACAATTAGAGTTTAAATAAGTAGTTATCGAACTTTTATGTTTCGAAGTCATTTGAATCTAATATAAATTTCGTTGCCAAGTAGTTTTTATAAGACTTGAAAACGGCTTACGTCATCAGAATTTTTAAATTAGCTATTAATAGGTGTATCCATGGGTCGATCTATGCTAGACCACTATTGAAAACCTGGAAGCACTGAACAGTCGTACTAGTTATTAATAGTTGGTTACTTTTTCTATCCACATAATATTGACACACAAAAAACCTAAATAAAGCCTTTGGGTTAGATGTGTAAGACGATGATCAATAGTCTAATCAATGATAAGTAAATATTCGCTATTTCCTACTTTCATTCTTCAATGACTAGCATGAAACGAAGCGAAAGATGACGACAAATGTAGTGAAGGTTCACCAACCATAATCAATTCTAACCCGAAGTCATTAGGGTTACAACATATTTGAATTTTAGACTGTTTTATTTTCGCAAGCTCGAATGACCATTGATTCCCTTTCAACACAACATTTGATTCTGTTGTCATAGTTAGTAGAAAGTTACAATTCTTTACATCCTTGTTGCTACAAACATTAGATTATTAGAAGTGTGTCTTTCAGTTAGCTCCGCTGTAAAGTACTGTTAAAATCCTTTATATTCATGATAATGTTAATAAATCTTGTATCCACCTGATCTTTGTTCAAGAATTTTCTCTACATTTTTTTCGAACTTTGTAACCATGTTTCTGTAAGATAACTCATTCGAAACAGCTCCCTTTTGTCAATACGATGTCTGTTCCGTAAATAAGATCAATATTTACGTTTTAAAATAAGATTAAATCAGGTTATGTTGAGTAAAGTAAGAAAAACATTTGTAGTTGAAATTGTATTGTTCAGTGATCAATAGAAAAAATATCTAGTTAAACTTTGAATGTGCAGTTTTATTATATAAGCAATTTGAAATAAAAACATATTTACTTGATCAATATTCAACAAATGTGACTTAGTTTAAGATAAATTATTTATTGAACTTTAAATACCTACTTGATAATAATTTTCGCTTATTAGCTTAAAAACATTTGGTTTACTTATGATTATCAGTGAAGTGAGGAAAATCTCAACTCTCGATAGTTGCTAAAAGATAATGCTATGAATACTTATCAGCATCAGATATGATTCACAGATAAGTTGTTAGAGTGACTATTTAAAAAGCTGTCTGTTACACTATCATCATCATTTAGGGCTGTGAAAAACAATTTAGCTGATTCGTTACATCTCAAATATTTTCATATAATTTACTGTTAAAGAGTTAAAGAACATCAGTAACTTATGACTTTAAGGGTTGTTTCAAATTATTAATTTTATTTAAACTGAACTCTCAACACAACTGAACTCCATGAGTCATAACTTTATACTAGAACTTCAGTAACTCATCTTGATTCCTGTTAAGTTTGTCTTGGATACTACTGTATATTCCTATAATTGAACGACACAGCTACACAAGACCTTTTTATTTCCAGAAATGTAATGATTTGATAAAACGATCAATGACTCATATTGTCATTGAATAAGAAAAGGAGAATTCAGCGAAGAAAATTATCTTTTCGACGAAATCCCTTATTTAAACTGTATATATACAAATGTACAGCTTAAGTAAATGATTTCATCGAAAAGAAAATTTTCTTCGCTGAATTATCTTTTTCTTATTCATAAACAATGAATATGATTGATATATTCAGACTTGTTTTTTGATTGATCACCTAATATTCATGTTGTTCCGTTGTACTATTTGAACTTAGATTAATGTTGATTTGGTTATTTATTCTCTGAAGTAGTTGCCTACAGTAAGTCACGAAACGTCAGAAAATCTAATTTTTCTATTCATTGGGATATTACAAATATATTAATTTATTTATAACAATCTACTCAATGCTAAATTTATTCAAAATTATCAAATCAAAACTTGGTAATGATACCTATCATTGTGAAGGAAAAAAGAAACATTATGAAAATACATACTAGTTACCTGGTAGACATGCTTTCAAAAATACTTCAGCTTGTACATTTCTATTTTTCATTAATTCTTTTTCATTATTATCTCTATTTCTTGTATTGAATTCACCATAATCATTCACAATAAAATTATTATGTGTATTATGATTTGTACTGATTTTATTATTAGTAGTATCAATTGTATTATTAGTAGTATTTTCTAGAATTTGTATTGATCTTTTTAATTCTTCAACTTTTTCTTGTTTTGATAATTTTCTAGAATATTTATTTATACATAAACACCAATGATTTGAATAATTTAAATTATTTTTATGATTTTGACTAAGCGCTTTATTTAATTTTATTGATGAATATGCTGAATTTATTAATAAATGTTTATTAGTAGTATTTAATTGTTTATTTGAATTTTTACGACAATGAAATATACCAAATAATATTAAAAATATAATTAATAATAATAGAATAGCACCAATAATTAATGGAATTATTAATTTATTAATAGTCATTCGATTATCTGATAAAAATTCAAAATTACCAAATATACTACTACTTATTAAATCATTATTTGATATACTTAATGATTTCATTTGGGATTCTGTTGTCCATACAAGTTTTACTGTACGTGTATTATTTAATGAATATGGTGTACCTAAATCACGAGCAATAATAGTAAGACTTAAACTGAATGAATGTAATTCATGTGCACGATTTGTTATTAAATTGTCTGAAGTAATTAAATTAGAATCAGTTAAATGATTTGATGTTCTACCATTGATTGCATATTGATTAGATGAAATTAATTTATTCATTAATGAATATTGTAATGTTTCACGAAAATAACAAACACCAGTTGTTGAATCAATTTCTACTATACCATAACCATTATTATCTAAAGAATATCTAACTAATGAATTATCACCAATATCAGGATCATGTGCTTTTGCTGTGAATAATGTACTACCAGCTGTAGTCATTGAAGAACCAGGTTCAATATGAAATTCTTGACCATTTAATGGTGTTTCAAATATTGGTGGATTATCATTAACATCTAATACTGTAATAATTATTGTAGCTGTAGCTGTATATTGATGTTGCCATTTGTTGATTAAATATGCATTGTTTTGTGATGTTTTAACAGATTTTAATATATCATCAATTGCAAAAGCACGAAATTCATAATGAGCTCGAATTTCACGATCCAAATGTTTATTAAGGCGTATATCTCCATTGCGTGAATTAATTGAAAATATCTTACCATCACCTTCATTTTCTAATTGGTAAGTGATAGATAATGTTCCAAGTAAATTTCCAAAATTAGTTTTTTGTAATTTTGGAGGGTTTTGTTTTTCTATAATTTGTTCAATCATTTCACTTTCAGCTATACCATCTGTATCTACTGCACTGATAGTCCCTACTATACTACCTATAGGAGCATCTTCATTTAGAGAAAAGTAATACACACCATCTTCAGGTCCACTTCGACGAATTTCTTTATCTCTGTCATTTGGAGAAGACATAATCCAATAAGGTGGATTGTCGTTTACATCAAGTACATCAACTTTGATCACCGTAGTACTACTTAAACTTGGTTCTCCATGATCTTTAGCTTCAACTACCAGTTCCATTTGATTAACTTTTTCCCTGTCTATAAAACCTACTCTCCGTATTACTCCTGTATTTTCATCAATCTTGAATGCATCTATTTCACCTGATAAAAACCTGTAACTAACTTTGCTATTCACTCCCTCATCTTGATCATTTACACTTACTCGACCGATTTCAACCGTTGACTGATCATCAAACATATTTTTAATTAAATTTACAGCTAAAGAAGGTGTCTCAAAAACACTGAATTGATAATTACCACTGGCAAATTTGGGGATATTGTCATTCACATCTAATACTTTAATAGATACCGTAGTACTTCCAGTTAATCGGCTCGACTGAATCAATTTGCCAATATTTTGGTACCCACTTAATGCATAACTAACTTGTACTTGATCGACACAAATTACTTTCACAAAAACCCATGGTTCTGCCTCTCGATCAATCGATTTTAATGATGACATTTTATAAAATAATAATGGTGAATCAAAATGAGTAGTAGATAATCCATAAGAATCTGAACGGTCAGCATAGTTTAAATTAGATACTTTTTCTAACAAAAACCTTGTATCGTTAGTTTCACAATGAATTTCTAACAAATTTGAGATAGCCCCACTATTGCTCTCAATAATATCACCATCTTCTACAGTTAAATGTGCAATTGTTAATGGTTCATTTTGATTTTCTTGTAAGCAACCTACAATTTTACCTTTCACACTGTTATGAAATTCAGATTCAGTTTGAAATGGTTGTGTATATTGTACAGATATTACAGGTTCATTATCATTAATATTCTCAACTAAAATTAATAGTTCAATACTTCCCGTTAATGAAGGTGATCCAGCATCCACAGCTTCTACAACCAGCTTTATTAAACGACCACTGTGTTCTCTATTCAAATCAGACCAACTAGCTCCATGACGATCATCTGCATCCATTTTCTTGGCCACTTTCAAGATTGCTGTACCATTGTTAGTTTCCAAGTCAAACCATTGCATTGAAATTGCATTTTGATCGCCATTTAACGACTCCTTGAAACGATAGGTGATCTGACCATTTAAATCTTTATCTGGATCATCAGCTATTATTGTTACAATCGGAGTACCAGGTGTTTGGGTTTCCGGGATTTTCAAAAATTCCTGAATAGCACCATTACCATACAAATCTGAAGTTGATATAAATGTTGGGAAATGAAAAATCGGTTTTCTAAATTTTGGAATGTTGTCATTAATGTCTGTTACTACTAAGTGGATAGTCTGTGTACCTGTTCTTTTCGGGTTACCTCCATCAATGGCTAGTAAGTGAAACCAATATTCATCTTGTTTTTCTCTGTCAAGTAAGCCAACAATGCGTAAAAATGGAACTGGGAGACTGTTACCTATTTTGTTTTCGTTATCATTATTCACAATCAAGTTAAAGAGTGCCTTATCTATTTCATGACCTGAAACGGTTGTCAGCCGATATGTTTTGACTCCATTCTCTGGTAGGTCTATGTCATGGGCTTTAGGCAGTTCGAGAGTAGTTGGGTTTCCTGAAGTTGGTTTATTGTTGGAATGTAAAATTTGAGAATGACTAGTAGCGCTGCTGCCAACCATATCAACACTTTCTATATTCTCTGGTATTCGGAGCTCCGTTGTGTCTCTTTTAGTGAATATAGGACTATTATCATTTCTATCCAGAATACGGAGAGTTAATTTTCCATATGATGGTTCCTGTCGTTTACCATGTAAAATAATTAAGGTAATATCACAAAAAGGCATTTGAGAGTCGGACTGAGTTTCCCGTGCTCCACAAAGTTCCTCACGATCTGGACCATTTTGTCCATCTTTAACAACAAGTTGAACGGAATTATCAAATCTATGCCGACGTATTTCCAAATGATTTATTCCAGGACTTGATGGGTTTCCAATTGCAAAATAATTAGAGTTGAATTCGCCACTGTTGAGTATAGGAAATCTATGCTCTAAGTTATCTATGATTATTGTCCCAGGTCGAGCATCCTCCATAACATCAACTACGCCAGAATTTGCAGTGGTTTCACTTAAAATTGAACTTGAAATACATAACAGAAGTAACAACAACATTGAGTTGAACGAAATCTGTAAAACACAATTAACAAACGGAAATTATATTATTCAACAAATCCTAAAATCCCATAAGGTTAACAGATTCAATACTTTCATCAACTGATAAAATCAAACTGATAAATACTGTACTTTATGTGATATACACACTTAGAATTTTGAGATAGATTAAAAAATCATTACACTATCAAATTACCATCAGCTTTCATCGATGGCGATATAAAACTTAAGATAGAAATAAGGTGTACCATATGTACTCATAAACATTTATATGGTTATATAGGATGATATAATTTGTTATTCCCTCATGTTATGAAGACAAAAGTAACAAGTGATTAGAGTTAAGAATAAATAAGTACTAACTTTATTTTTAGCTAACCTACCCTCTATCCACGTGTTTCTCTTACATTTTAATTAAATTGAATACTGAATTGTTGAACTTTCAATTTGAAGTTTCCCGTTTTTGATGTTCAAAACAGCAACTGATCAGTCTCTATTATCATCCATGCAATCTGAATACATTAATATAGCCTTCAGTCAAAATTTCTTATTATAATCTGTGTATGGCTATCAGTGGAACCCAGAAAACACATTTTTAAAGACTTTTGTGTAATCAGTTATAATATTTATGAATTCCAGGAACGATTTCTTTATTCACTTCTTAAATGGTCTATTTTCATTTTACTTACAAAAGTAACTTTATACTCTCAAAATTTATAAAACTATGGTGAGGAATTTCACAAACTGAAAAGTTTATATACTATTGTATTTTTATGATTATCAAACAACTGAATACCGATAAATTAAAATAATCAGTAAGGGGATCTGTGGAGATTGTAGTATTTTAACAGTTGGACACAATAGTCAATAAAAGCTAGACCACTACTAAAAACCTGGAAACACTGGACGGCTGTTTCGTTCTAGTACAATCTCCACAAGTTTCCTTACTGACAATAATCATGTGCTCACTAGTGACTGGTTTCAAGATGGATTTCCTGGAGTTCTAGTGACAAGCCGTGACCAGTGGAGTCCAATTCGTATCGGATAAGACAGTTATCCACTGCAGGCAATGGATGAAGGATCGTGCACGGCCTTGGATTGATTGAAGTCATACACTAACACTGTCACATGACGGTTCAATCATCTGGAGACCAAAGGTCATGAGTTTGAGTCCCGCCTGCAGGATCGTGGATGGGCACTGCTGAAGAGCTTAATACTAGGACAAGACGGACTTTCAGTGTTTCCAATTTTTCGGTTGTAGTCTAACTTAGATCGACTCGTGAAGTCAACCGTTAGGGTTAAATTAAATCTAATATTTATTACCAGGTGATCAAAGCTACTTGATACTAATGAAAAGTAATAATTACTGAATCCTTACATTTCGTCCACATTTACATAATATTATTTTTAAGGTGAATGAATCCATTTTACTTCAGGATGGGTTTTGTGTTTGCCTTACAGACACAGACACACTAGTGGTTGAAAAATATATGAACAGGAAAATACATTCGATTTATTACCAATTTTAATACAAATCATGTGCTTTGAGTAGATAATAAAAATATTGGTAGTATCAATAATTACTACTACTAATAACTGTAAAAGTGTATATTTCAAAGGACCTAAAATCTTTATATGTAACAGCAATATTTGATCAATATTAACACTTCTGTTTATTTACTATTGTGGAGACTATTAATATAAGGGGCATTCAGTCTAACATTTGTATGTAGAAAGTTATGATGAATCTATTTTTCTTAGCCTTGGTAAATATACTTAAAATACTTATCTTACTTATCTAATCTACAACCTTGTATGTAGCTATCAATTGATTTAGATTTATCAAATTCATTCTATCTTAATTATTTCTTCGAATGTAGAAATCACTTGTTTTCTATGATTATTTAGAACTGTAACCTCAGCTCATCTATGCTAACTCTCAATACATCAATATTCATTAGTTTCTAATGTTTTTTTTTCCAAAATCTTATGCTCCATTCTGAAGAATAATATGAAAAACAACTGTGTTTTAAATTTATTATTTATATCCGCTCCTACAGTATTGAACACTATTTTACTCCTCACTTTCACATGCATCACATCTGTCACAATAATATTTTAGCAATTTTTAAAAAAGTGATATAATCGATTATTGTTATTCTAAAAGGAGCATAAAGGCTCACTATAATTATCCATGGTGGTCTAGCTTCAATCGACTCGTGATCTCAACTATATAAAACTACTAAAATCTCCACAAACCCCCCTTCTGATAATTATAATTAATAGTGTAATTCCCTTTTTAATACCAATGAGGTTTAATAATCACGTTATCATTAGCTTAGATTCAAGTTCAAATATTATTACAGTCAGATATAATTTATTTCTCAGGACACTATATCATTATACATTTAAATGAAAAAAGCATGTACCTGGATGTATTCAGGGTATATTTCGTTAACGTTTAAATCAGTCACCATTTTTTTAAATATATATATGGTCATACTGTTAAAGTTTAGCAATAAGAGTTAAGAGGAAAAGCTACAATCATTTTAGTGTCAGTCCGTTTTGTAGATTCATTAACTAAAGTAAATTAAACTTTTGTTCTTATTTCAATTATTCATTTGAAATTAAGGCTGTTCATTGACAATGAGAACGCCTAAAATAGGATGGATTTACTGTCTTCTACAAATCATGTTATTATTTCTTTCTTCATAATTATCAGTTAGACAAACAATTAATAGTTATATAAAGTTTAGTTTGAAAAATTTATCATAATCTGATTTTTTTTATTTGAATAATTGGGTAGTGATATTTCATTTTAGAACTAGAAATAACACTAGTATCGTAATACACTAAGTTAGAAATGCATAACAATAATTCAAAATGCCATTGAAACTATTAAAATCAGCTGCGTAATCATATATATATATATATATATATATATATATATATAATCACGCGAGTTCACTCATTCTTAGACTTTTTGTCGACCTTATATTGCATATTTTCTCATCATCTCGAATGGTGGCTTGATTTAAACTATAAGTCTATGAATTACCCATTCATTAACACTGTGAAGCACTAAATGATTATTTTGTCTTATCTCAGGGGAAAATAGGGATAACTACTCAGGGAATGGATAGTGATGAGCAAAACGCATTTAGCTGTTCAGTTATCTCTTTTTTTATTGCTTTTCCTGGTTGTCATCCAAACAATGAGCAAATTCTTTCTAAATTACTATTGCAAATAACAAATATGTTCATTTAATTTTATGTAACTATTTTCACTGTTCTCATTGAAGCTTTTAATTCAAATACACATTTAGGAACTCGCTCTAAGAAAGACATACTCTCCATATTTTTACATTAAATGTTCAATAAGCAACAATGCTTAAATCTCCAAACTACTTCAATATTTATCAATGTATGTGACAAAATATATAAACTACAATAGTCGTAGTGAATTTTTGTAAATTAAGTCAAAAATACCATCAAACACGCCAACAAACCTTTACTCAACTATTATTATCAATATTGTCGTCATCTTTGCTATTCTTTTACCGTATAAGACAATGGAGATTTTTTTTAAAATTGTTTTTAGTTTTCATTTTTAGTGTGTACTAAAACTTAGAAACGGCAAATTGACAGGGACTTGGAAATAAGAAAATAACTATGGAAACGCGAAATAACTTGGAGTAATTTCAGTTAGCTAGTATATATATAGTAGAAATTAAGACGATGTTTTTTTTAGAATAATATTACCGAAAAATATATTTCTTTCTACAGTGCAGTATTATTCTCAATCACACTGTACAATTCAACCTATAGACATGCAGGTCATAAGCAAATATACACAAGGGACAGTATTATTATTTCTTTTACCTATATGTATATGTGTTCCTCTTTCACGTCGATAAATTTCAGAATGTCAATGAACAGTTTAAGAAATGTCTATGGTAATGAGTCATTTTATTTAGGATAGCACAAGAATAATTCAATATGAATCTTATCAGAATAATAAAGCATAGAAGAAAGATGAGAACAAGAAATAATAATCTTCACAAACAATACAACTAATTAGTGTGTAGATATGTTAAACAATGTTGTTACTTTTACAGCATTATTAGAATTTTCAATAGTTTTTATTGACATGTCAACAACATGTTATAATGATATTTACATAATCAATATTATTGAATATGAGCTTGAATAAAGCTAATATTTTGTTGTTTAAATGAGATAAAACAAGGAATAAAGCATTTGCTTTTACTTATAAGCAAAGATGGATAGTGGCTAGTAGTGGAATACAGGATGCGCGTCAATTCGTCCTATTTGGGACTCGTCAGCTGGATGTACCTACATCTCAGAGTTGATGTTCACACTGGGACTCGAACCCAGTGCCTTTCGCTTCAAACGCTATCGCGCTATCCACTAAGCTACTGAGTCCTGATAGCCACTTGCTTGTGCAATGGGAAGAAGTTTAAATTCACTTGGTATCGTTTGTTTGAGTCTTCCCATTGATGTTTAGAACTGCAACTGGTCAGTCTCTTACGGCTTTTGAAGCAAAAGGTACTGGGCTCAAGTCCTAGAGTGAATATCAACTCTGAGATGCAGGTACATCCAGCTGGCGAGTCCCAAATAGGACGAAGTGACGCGCATCCTGTATTCCACTACTAGCCACTATCCATCTTTGCTTATAATGCTTGTGAATTAAGGCTATATCGAGTCAATACGCACAGTATGCACATATGCTAATAAGAGACTGACCAGTCGCAGTCCTAAACACCAATGGGAAGATTTAAACAAACATTACTAAGTGGATTTGCCTTTCGTGTATATAATACATTCATTCATTGTGTTCATTCTTACGTGATTCAATGAAATTAACATATAATTTTTAAAAAAGAAAAAAAAGAAATGGCTAGTTTACCCTTCATGGTTAACAGTTATATCTTTTTCTTTTTGCTTATTCACAATTTAACATGATTATTCGAAGCTTTTATCAAAAATGAATAT